TATAGAATAACGTAGAATTCTCGCCCGGTTAGGGCTGAATTGAAAAACTTGTTTACCGTTTAGCTTGTTAAAGTAAACAGTCGACATCGAATTGCAGAGGTGTGCGACAATTTGTTCGGGAATTTTTATGAAATTTCCATCGTTTTATTTGTGATTTGTCCAGATTGTTTAGTGAAAACTGCCGTTGTTCGTGCTGGGAGAAAGTGGCTTTTGAGTGCAAATACTGTTGGAGTTTGAGTCTGATGGATCAGGAAAGTTGTATTATTCAACCCTCCAGGTAAAGATTGGTTTCAATAGCGAACAATTCTTGATGATGGGCATAGCAGTGAAGCTTTGAAAAACCGGACGGTTTAATCGAAATGTGCTCGATCAAAGAGCTTTTATGTTACCAAATTCATTTTGTAGATCGCGTTTAGGAGTAATTAATAGTCGAGACCAAATCTGCTAAAAACGCTTTGTAGGTAAAAAAAATGGACATAATCCGGTTTTTTGCATTTTATAGCGGGCTGGTCGCGTTTATGAGTAATAAAATGTTGAAAATGGCCCTGCAACGAAAGAGCCTTTGAAGCTGAAACGAAATTTGCTTGCGATTCCGAAAAAATGACCACACTTCGGTCGGCTTGAGCCGAAAAGACCGCTACCGATATGTTGCACAGTACGGTTTTTCGATTTTGAGCCCAGTGGGAGGCATTCTTTCAATTGCAATGACTGAACTAAAGGTTTGTGAGAATGCCCAAATGTGTTTCCAAGAAAACTGTCTTATTTCGGCATCATAAATTGCCAATTATTAGTCACGCTGTCCGTGTCAAACAAATACGTCTTGCTGTGGGGCCTTAAAGGAGTTGTTCAGGTAAAGCCCGAATAAATTAGAATATAATGAGTGTCGCCTTACAGGAAGCACTGTATTTGACACTTTTTAAGTTTATTTGTACACGAGCGGAATCGCTTCCATCCAGACGTTTCCTGTTGCCATCTCGTCGAATTTCCCAATGTTAATTACCCGTGCAGGAAAAAAACGTCTAGGTATTCGAAATCCGGTGAACTTGCAGTCTATTAATTGTCGCTTCCTGTCCTTATCGTATATGCATAAGCAATTTTCTAAGGGGCCTGAAACGGTGCGAAAGCACCATCGCATTCTCAGAAATATTTGAATTTATCAAAGTCATTATATTAAATAAACCAAACACATTTACATGCAAATTGTATAATGCTTTCAGTGTTACCAATCGGCGTGAAATTACTCGATTTGCGAGTATTTCGACGAGGCCGCGTGTTCTTTGCTCGTTGTCGATTTTTAACGTTATTTAATACGCTCGCTTATCGGCCATAAATGATCTAGGTAATTGTACTGATTTTTTTTCGACTCCTTACTGCGTTTTGTGCGGGACTTCCATATATCACTTTGCAATTTCCATTTTTACCATACTAATTTCCACTCGCAAACAACAAAGTACCGTCCGCTCAAGAAGAAACCGAAATGCCTGATGGTTTTATATCTACAAGAGAGTTCGATGGCAAGAACTGGGGCTTCGAACAATAAATCTCAACTGTAAACCGATTGGACACGTCCATAGCAGAGTTTGAGCGTTTTAATTAATTTCAACCAAATCGTGAATAATTTGCCGCACTGATCTGTAAGAACAAACGTCCAAAGGTCTTTTTCCATTCGTTCGTTCGCTCGTTCTTCCTTTCTTTGCGACCTTGATTCGAGTGAGCCACTGACAGCTGAAAAGTACAATCGCTTGAATACATTTTATTTCAATCACTCTGATGATGGTGATTGAAAGGCGATGGCTGCATTCGAAACATGATTCAAGGAGAGGCTGAAAAATTCCTAAAGTATTTTTTCAATATTTGAAAACACTTAGGTTTGACCCACGGCACCCGATGTCGCAGTGATTTTTCATTTGCGCCGAACTAAATGGGTTTGAGCAGAAATAGAACGACCAATAATAGAGCACGAACTAAAACTGTACAAATATTTGCCGGAAAGCAATTTTCTGAATCGGTCCGACCCAAATGCCGTAAGAAATTACGGCAAACTGTTTTCGAAACATTTTTATTTTTGCCCGCTTATTATCGATATCGCTCAAACTTTCAATTTTATTGCGTTTACCGGGGTTTTACGGGCTTATGGGAAGACAATTGAAACGCTTTTCTTCGATTACTTTTCTCAGTTCTCTGTTCGAGCTGCAAAGCTTCTCATTTCCATAATCGTACACTGAACATTCGCCAGATTCTTTAAATGGGCTTTTAAGGAAACCCTCCTTTTAGTGTCTACAACCAGTAAGCAAAAGCGATTTTTTTAGTTTACTTGTTGGTTTTATTGAAAGTTGATGATCCGGAGTAATTGAGGTTGAATTTGGTGGTAATGACGGGGCATATTTGCATCTTCCTTGTTAATTTTTCTAAAAAAAATTTCCGGATCAAAATCCAATGGAAGAAACTTTGAAAAAATCTGAGACCGTTTGGTCGTTTATCTCCAAAAGTTCTCACTTATAAAAATGGGAAAAGTAGAAACTCGAAATTGAGGTTTTTCGAAGGAAACTTTGGAAAGTTTAGAGCGCTTCTAGTACTTTCAAAAAATATCTGCCAACTCAAATTTCGTTTCTCGTTGCGCGGTTAATACGAAACTTTGCTAGATTTTCGGGCATATTTTAAAGCATCTAAACTTGAAACTTTTCCAGTTTAAGAAGTAAAGTTTTCATTTCGTAAAAAATCAATTAGACGTAGACTAGAAATTTTCCCCAAATCAAGCTGTTTTTGAATACATTTTTTAAAATCTGAGATCGCTTGTGGGTACGATCGATATAAAACTTTGCCAGTTTATTGCCTAAAATCTCTAAATTTGATTCACTAATATTCTCATTTATATAGCAATTTTAGAAACTCGAAATTCCATTTTACTTCCAATCTAGATTTTTTCAAAAAGTGCTGCCCAAAAGAAATGTTTCTGCAGAAACTTTTGAAAAACTGTAAAAGCGCTTTCGATTCCTGAGGCATATGAAATTTTGCAAGTTTACTGTCTAAAGAGTTCTTTTAAAAATAGCAAAAGTAGAAACTAAAATTGATTTTTTCGCAGAAACTGACAAGTCTAAAGCGCTTCTGAGTGCACCCTAAAACAGAAACTTTGCCAGTTTATGATGAAGACTAAAGCTTTCTCTTGTAGAAACCAAATTTGAAAATATTGTTTGCTTTACAGTTGGGTTTTGCAAGTGTTCCAAAATGAAGGTTTTTTCGAATAAACTTTGTAAAACTTTTCGCGTTTCTAGTTGCACGATCAATTTGAAACCTTGCAGGTTTATTGACTAAAGTTTTCCATTATAAATAGCGAATTTAGAAACTCCAAATTGCGTTTTCTTTCAGAGTACACATTGCTCAAAAAGAGTCTCTCAAATGAAATGTTCTGGCGGGAACTGAAAAGTTTAGAGCGGTTACGGTTTCACGATACAACTTGCGAGTTTCAACACTAAAGCTTTCGCTCATATGAAGCAAAATAGAAACTCTACATTTTTGTGATGTAGATTTTTGAATTCGAGGAGGAATTTTCCAAAGTGTGTCTAGATCAAGCTCTTTTCGAATATTTGAAAACTCCGATACCGTTTTGAGTTGCAAAATGAATTTAACACTTCGGACCTTCCAACTGATGAAAATTGAACGTGAAAAAAATTAAGTGAGAAACTCAAACCCTCTTTTTGCTAAGGATTTCCCCATAAATCACTTCAACATTTTCAAAATTTGAAATTTTTCAGTGGCGTAAAAGAGTTTCCCAAAATCAACCAAATGTACATTCGCTTTCAACCATTGGCAACCACCCTAAACTTATGAGGGACAAAATTTGACTCTCCTATTGTTTGCTCTGTTTTCTTTACACCTACTCAGGCCTTAGCATTGATCATCGACTTTTACCGCTCAGCAGGTAAAAGTATGAACGACAGACAATAGCAAACAAACTGTTGATTTCCAATCCCTTCTGGTTAATGGCATTGATAAATGACTGAAAAAATTCAATTGAGCATGGATTGTCCCTCCTCTGCAGGTGATAAGCTTTTGGGCAATCGCCTTGCAAGGAGGACAGTTTATCCGAAAATGCAGAAAACAGACAACAGAACCATGCATCACTCGATGATTATGATAACGTTGTCATGACGGGTTTTGCATGCTGTCGGGTTGATGTATTGTTTATACTTTTTACCACTGGCGAGCGATAAAGGAGCGTTCTGCGCCATAAGATGGCCGCTTGAAGAAACAATAAAAGGCCCCGGTTATTTTTTACTTTAATCGGACACCCAAATGGTTCAGGATATTAATAAACAGCGACAGTCGCTCGAATAATTTCGCTGGTACATGATAACATAATTTCACAATAATGTTCAAAGTTGATAAGGCAGGCACGAAGTGGTTGAAAAACGCAAAACAGGGAAAATCGATTGGGTTCGCGGGTTAATTGCCCGTTGCATGTCTTGCGGGGAAAAAGTGGGAATTTTGAATAATAAACGTTATTTCATTTTATTGCTTGGTAAATTGCCAGGTGGAAAAATTAGCGACATGGAAAAGAAACAAAAGCCTGATAGAAATCTTGTCGCTTCGATATGGATATCGTGCCGATAAACTAATAACGTGGACGCGGCAGAACCTCGAGGCAACTTAGCAAGAGGACGGTATGTCTCGTTTATAAGACGCGATAACATCTCTTCAGTCGTTTCGGGACCATCTCTTGCATACTTTTTAATGGTTTCCAGTTTTTTAGGTTCATTTTTATGAGCGGCAGGTATTTCGCAGTTTTATTTTGATCGCATGTGCACTTTTTGAGACTGTTGTTAGCCCGTTGTCTACGTGCCTTTATTATATTAACGGCGAATGGCCTTTGTTTTGTCAAAAACCGTCTTTGGCGCGATCGCTCCTTCATAACTGTACCCAAACAACATCAGGCCAGCAAAAAGGATTGCCTATTAAATGACTTCAATTCGGAGAGTGGAGGAGAAAGAACATAGACTTACGGTGTTCCGTTTGATTAAAGCTGAGTTCCGCTCAGTGGGCTCCAGATCTGCAATTAGAAGAAAGTTCTTGAATTAGTTAACGAGCTAAGGTTGGGCTTTGTATCTTCTAAAAGTCTACTTAAGTCTTGGAATGGAAAAAAACGTTTTCTCTTGGTTGACGTTGAATTATGCAAGCTGGCGTATTTTCGATTATTCCAAGTGCACGTGCACCTTCCTCGAGCATATACATGCGTAAAAAAACTTCTAACTCGAAAAGCATTACAGTGTTAAAGATACGTTCAAAAAATAGTGCGCCAACTCTCGATTATTGTCCGAAACGGGCTGATTATTGAAAAGCTTCCAAACTTAGGGTTTAAAAAACTAACACGCTCCACAATTCATTTGACGAAAAAAAAATCTTAACTCGAAAATCAAAAAGACTAGCAACTTGTAATAGCTACAGAGTCCAAACGATAGATTGAGCAAGCAGTCCACACATTTTCAATTATTTTCCTCTCACAACTGATTTCTGGAACGCTTCCTTGGGGTCAAAAAACACACCGGCTGCTCAATTTACACAACGAAAATGATTCGTAACTCCAAAATCAAAAAAGCTACAAACTTGCAATACCTACAGCGTCTTAACGATAGATTTGGCAAACAGTAAACAAATTTTCGATTATTTTCAAATAAAGGGCTGATTTTCGGAAAGCTTCCAAACTTGAGCACACAACAGCCCACCCGCACCCCATATATTGAGACGAAAAAAAATCATAACTAGAAAACCATAAAGATTATGAACTTGCAATTTTTGCAGAGTATTAACGACACATTGGGCAAACAGATTTTTTGGAGGTAAAACAGCCAACCGCACTCATGCAAGGAAACAAAATGTACAATTAAAAAATAAAAAACTACAAATTTGCAATTTCTACAGGGTCAGCGCTACATCACTCCACAAAATTTCAAAAACTTTGTGTGAAAGTGCGTAGATTTTTTGCCAAACCAGCGCAATTTTGCACCACAAGCCCAACGGGGCGATATAATATTAATAAGCCTCCGTGTCGTCGCCGCATTTCGTCAAATGGAGACAAGTGGAAGAACAAGAAGGATTTTTCCCAGAGCGCCCCCGTTTTATGTTGATGAAACGGCCAACTTTCAGATGAATAATTCAAAACCGGCACCGATCGAGTGCACAAAACGCAGCCCACTTTTCCAATATACCAAAACAAAACGGTTTTTGAAGGAAAAAAGAGGCCAGGTGGCAGGTGAACCGTAGGTGAGCCACCCATCAACCCATCCCAGTTTTCAATAAAACAATTCTAATGCCTGAAATTTGTGCGGTTTCTCTTCACGGCGTCTTGAAAACATCCTGCTTATCCAACCCGAACAAATAACACACACACATGAAACCGCCCATTAAATAGTGCTTAGAGGACCGAAAATAGAAAAAAAGAAAAGCTTAGATAGTCCTGTTATTAGCCAGACCTAATGGTATTGTATTAGTGGAAATTAGTCCGCTGTTTAGATAATGAGGGAAAATTGGAATGCTGAAAATGTATCTCTGCAATTCTATTGTGGATAATTGGTTTTGTAAGTAAACTGTTTGAAACTGGCATTGGGTTGTTTGTATGGGTTTATATTCATATATATTCCAGTTACGCGCAATACTCTATGTAAGTGGTGTAATGATGTTCGTGGAAACAATCGCAAATCGACTTTGGAACGCCAAACTGCGGGCTTTTCGTTTAATAGTTGAGAAAATACAGCCAATGTTTATTCGAGTAATTCCATATGCAATTCAGTCGAGAGATGAGCATTGCGAGTTTTCACTAGTAAACCACTGTAAATGAGCGCGAATTTCCAAAAAATCTCATTAAAATTACATCAGCTTTCCTATTTCTCCTCCACATAACTAAGTTAGTGCGTGAAACTCAAACGCTCGCTATTCGTGTATAATGAATTGCTCTAGAAAACTTTGCCACTGTAATTAATATCGGCCGAACTGAGCAATCACTGAACTGGTTCTAGATGATATTATGGAATTCCTTATGGGGAAAACTACCAAATAGGTTGATAGGTTTTGCCGGTTATCTGACCAGTAGACGTGAGAAACAGTAGCAGCTGTTTTAATTACTATACACCTAATGTGTTGCGATATTTAAGGCTATTTAGATTGTTATTGGGAAACTTCACTTTTGCGCTTTCAAAAAAGGGCCAACGCGAAACTCAGAAAGAGTGTACACTTGAAGTTTCTACGAAGTGTTAACGATACATTAGGCTAAGAGTCTGCAAATTTCCGATACATTTTAAAGGGGGGCAAATTTTCGGGAACTTTTAAAACTTGGGGGCAAAAATTTATTTGCTTATCAGATCAAGTAACGAAGAAAAAATTCTTAATTCGAAAACCACAAAGGGTAAAAGTTTGAAATTTCTACAGAGTGTTAAAGACAAATTGGGGCAATAGTCCACAAAATTTGAGAAAGTTTTGAAAGTGTGCTGATTTTTGGCAAGTTTTCAAACTTGA